CAAAGGACTTGTGCAGATTAATTATTGACGACTACATAATTTGTCGCAGCGGTAGAAAGTGCAATAATGTGTTGTTTATTGTTATGCCAAGAGATCATACAATTTCCAAAAATATGACACGTCCCACTAGCACTCTTCCTATCTTATTTGAAACCTACAAAATTATAATCAAAGTAGCCTACAAAACTACACCTAATTCCCTTAGGGAGCCAAAGACCATGGTTTATAGTATCGTTTAGATACCTTAAAATATGTTTACTGATCTTAAAATGTGATTCTTTAAAGGAAGGATTAAAACCTTTCACATGCAAACATTAAACATAATAACATGTCTACTTGCAGTTAAAATGAGCAAGGATCCAATCATACCCTGATATTTAGTAATTTTGACTCCTTTCTCAATTAATCTTTGTTAATAAGCAAATATGTAGCTATTGGTGTAGATTTTGATTTTGCATTATTCATTTCATACTTCTTTAAGACTTCCAAGCAATATTTGGTATGGTATATAAAAGTCCCCTTATAAGTTTGTTATATTTAGGGTTCCAAGAAATATGTAAGTTAACCCATCAACAACATTTTAAATTCACCCTACATAGTGTTAGAATACCTCTTACATAGAGATTTGTTAGTATATATCTAAAAATAAGGTCATCTACATATATTTGAACCAATAAAAAAATTTCTTTACGTTTTATAAATAAAGTGGTGTCAGCAGTTCTAAGACTAAATCCCTTCCATTGTAAGAAACCACTAGTACACCTATACCAAACTCTCAGATCTGCTTAGCGCACCCTGCTGTGCAGAGCCAGTGAATTATTTTTAATTTTTTGGTTGGCTCTCCTTTTTCCCACTTCATCCAAGGATTTATAGTATAGTAATTAATAGCAATATTTTTAATTCTTTACTTTGTTGTTTGGACTCAAATTTTGGTTAGATAGCTTGAAGTCGCATTTGGTGATTTTCCGATTTTGAGTGCGTCAACTTGCAGATGTATTGTAATGATAGTTTTTGAAGTTGGTACTCGTCAGATACTCGTTTATCACTTTCTATGACATAACATGTTTAGGAAATTTATCATTTGTATAATAATCATACCATTCATTTTTTTGCATTACTTGCTCATGACTTGAATCACTTTAGTTCCATTTTTACCCGTAAATGTGAGGAAGCTTTCCATTGTTCATTTATGTTGGAGGCCACAATTCTTGTTTTAACTGGATTTTATTGTGTTTAATCTTTTGTTTGTGTTGATTGTATGAAAGCATGAACATGATTAAGGCCTTTTTATGGTTTCATTTTGAGTCCAACTATCCTAGCCAAATAGTCAATTCACCTTGTGAGTGTGTGAACTTTTGTTAATCCTTTTGACCCTTTTTGTCGATGTCCATGTTGTTTTTTCTAAATGCTCGTCTATGAGTTTTTTCGATTATATTTTTGTATAGATGTTAATTCTTTGTTTTATTGAACCCTCAACTATGATTTATGGTTTGAATTTTTATCTTGCCTTAGAAAGTATGGAGTATTCACATTATGATATGATTGAATTCAAGTTGGAGAGGGAATTGTTTGTTTGCTCTTGTGTGTATTACTATGAGATTGAGAATGAAAGAGAAAAAGAAATAAAAAGAAATAAAAAAGTGAAAAAGAAATAAAAGAAAAAGAAAGAAAAAAGAGAAAAGTTTTGAAAAACAAAAACAAAAAGAGTTTGAATAATATTGTGATAATAAATGATGTGTGTTGGTTTGAAATTTGGAATGAAGAAGAAGTTTGATTAAAATTATTTTACTTTAGTCTTTGTGAGTTGATCACTCCCTTAGGTTAAGGCAAGTTTTTGTTTCGATTAGCTTTAGGACTTATCTCTTGTTTGTTAACCAAGCCACATTACAACCTTGAAAAGCCTTGTGATTCTTGCATTTGCATTTTCAATATGAGTTTTTTGATGAATACATAATTTAATCTATTGTTTGAAATATTATGGATGAGTGTTTTGTGTCCCTCACTTTTGTGTGTTCTTCATCTACCGATGAATTTTTGTTAGGTGTGATTCATAATTGAGCTTGTTTTATTTTAGAATGTTTAGTATGGTTTTTGTACTTAGGATTCGTTTCATTTACATGTTGTCGTTGTAGGATTGTGGTAAGTATTTACCTTGCCTGTGTTTTTGTTTGAACCATACATTTTTTTTCCGTTTTAAAATTTGTTGATTCATGATTCTTTGGTTGATTACTTTTGGTTCTTTGAGTTGTTTGGTCTTGTTCGAGGACAAACAAGTTCAAGTTGGGGAGATTTTGATAAGTGCAAATTATAGTTACTTTTGTATATACTTTTTGTTGCACTTATCGACTCTTTGTTGTTAATAATCGTTGAATAAACCCGAATTTTATGTATATATGTTTAGTTTGTGTTTATTTGTGTTTTTGTGTATATAGTGTACCATTTTATGTTTTTTTCCATTCATTTTGTAGGTATTTGTTGCATTTTTGAGAATCAAGGAATAAGGTGTCAACGGCATGGCTCCAGATGCGTGTTTTCGGAATAAAAGACCAATTTTGAGAAGTTTTGTCTGGGAGAGCCCGCTTAGCGCGCAAAAGGCCGATAAGCGCGAGTGCGCTCAGCGTATTTTGTAGCGCGCTGCTTGCGTTTTTGACATTTTGGCAAAATCTTAGTTTTGGAGACCGCTTAGCACGGATAGCGCGCTTAGCGCGGTTTAGTTCGATTTAATGTGTAAATACCGTGCAACCCGCTTAGTGCGGTAAGCCCGCTAAGTGAGGTCTACTGAGATTTCTTTTATAACTTCATTTTCAGTTCATTTTTTGTTATGGTTTTTGGGGTGTTTCTATTCCCAAATTCCATCAACCTTATTTTTGATAGTTTAGCTTAGAAAAGAACACTAGGGCTTTGCTTATGGATGATTGGAGGTGGATTTCTCATCGACCAACGCTGATAAACTGGAAGATTTGTGGTTTATCTCTTCTCCTCTCTATGTATTTCTATTTTGTTTGGTTTTGTATGTATTTTTACTTTGAACTCATGTATATTTGTCGCCCATGGTGTTATATAAAACTTGCTTTACAAATGTTTGTCGATTGTTATTCTTGATTTTTGCTATGTGTTAGGGATTTGAGTTGTTATAGACATTACTGCTCAGATTCTTATCTAGGATGATTATCTGTTAGTTTATGGATTATATAGATAGATTTAGAGCGGATATTCACTTAGGGTGGTGTTGTTTGTGTCGCTCTGAGAGATCCTCGATGCAAGCGAGCACAGTTGACTTATGTGTTGTTATGGTTGGTTGGGAGATCTCCACCAAGGTGATACAGTGGGTGTTGTGTTTGACATGTGTTGACATTAATGAATATTGTAGGTTTAGTATAATTGGTCGATATGTTTAAGTTTGTGACGAGTAGAGTACTTTAGAGCCGGATAAGTTTGTCTTTCCTTTTTATACATTTATTTTTTGTTGATACCTTTCCTTTCAACCCATTTATCCCCCTAAACTCATTAACAATAGATTTGAAGAAGGACATTTCAATACACCAATCTATGTGGACACGATACGATATAACCTAAATATCACCCGGTAAAATAATACTTTACTTATTGTTTGACACTTTACCGCTTCCAGCAATGTCATATCCCAAATTTGTCTTACCCCATCACATGGCTTATGTTTCTCACAACTATCATGTGAATACCCTTCATTAGGTAATATAATGTATCATGCATTCATCTAACATCAAGGATCAATGTCACGGGATCAGGGTTTTACATAGTGCATTAGGGTTTCATCTCTTGCAAGTGTTTTTTTAACTGAAAAGACAAAGATCATGGATTGGGGTTTGCACCCTTATGCAAGGTTATATTCAAATGCACCTCCTAAGGCACTTATACTTAACATTCTTTGGCTTCTTCATCAATAAGAGGCTCATTATTTCATGAAATATAAGCCACACACAAGATCTTTCAAAATCCTACAAGTTCAAGCATTGGAGGGCACATCTTTGCACTTCTCCCCTCCATAAGAATTAGGGTTCATGTCCCTAATCATGAGGATTCTAAGAGAGGCTCCTTATAAAGCTATTCTTCAAGCACTTTCTCATCAACCAAGAGGCTACAATTTCAGAGGAATTAGAGGTTATCTCTTTATAACCATCTTCTCCACATAAGTTAGGGTTTATTTCACTAATCATGTGGATTTCAAGGAAGGATTTTACAAGAAGTTATTCATCAATCAAATCTTGAAATCTCAAGACTTCAATCATTATGCAAATACTCTCCATCTAATCACTTGGTCTGCTTATTATATAAGCTTTCTTTGGATCTCATTTCAAGTGCCTTAAGTTGAAAGACATAATGCCTTTCATTAAGGATTAGGGTTTTGAGTTAAGGGTAAAAGAGAAGGTTCATTCATTCATTTTGAGACAATCTAATCATGATGATACATTCAAGGGACAATTCAAAGGTTGAGTTTAATTCAAGTTCCAATTGATTCATGGTTAAGATGCAGCATTCAACGAATAAAGGTTCTGTGCATGATTCCTCAACTAAGTGTTTTCTTAAAAGGCAAGTTAGTGAGGACTTAAGATTTAAACAAGAGGTTAAGATTTCTTAAAATGCAAGAATGGCATTAAAGTGATGCAAGTTCTTGGGAAATGGACTTAAGATTTTGGATTCAACTTTTGGAAAAATCACGACATAACAAAGAAGTAAGTTAAGTACAAGTTTGATTCATTACAAAAGTTATCCAACTTCATTAGTTCACTATATAAACCACTACATCATGAAATAAAGAAAAGAAAAAAATACATGGCTTCATGACCTAAACCTATGCCATTCATCAAAGGGATTCATGACCAATTCTTATCTTCAATTTCCTTCAATCTTTGCTCACTTCTCAAAACGCCATGTTATGCTTCATACTATATCCTTTTCACTTTGCCTCATCAGTTGAACCAACCTGAACTTCAACTTTACATGCCTTTGTTCATCAATATCTACAAGCTATGCTTCAACCTAGAAATTTCATGGCCAATTAAACATAATAGCCCTGCATATTCAAACCTGCAAAAAAGGTTTGTGATGGCTCTGCACATGCTCATTTAAATCAAGAAGAACCAAACTTGGATCAGTATTGTACGCAGCCAGTTCATCACTTAGTAAAACAAGGAAAAACCGAAAAGAAATTAACTTGCAAACATAAACAATGCAATTCACCAAAACCAACATATCAAAGCCATTTAAAAAAACCACATCCAACAGTTCATTAACAGACCAAGCATCAAGAAATCAAAACCGCAATAAACCAGTTTAGACAGAAAATCCAAACATAAAATAAGTTCATTGCATCAAAACCAAAACTGAATCAATTCACTCAGCTAACATCACTTGGCAACTAACTCAATTACCAAGTCTAATGCCAAACCTGCAATAACTAAATCTGAACCTACCATTCTAACTCACTATAACTATTGTAACAAAATCAAAGCCTGTGTAACAAACTCCCAAACCTCATTCCAATCCTAACCTCATCTGAACCTATCATCTATAAATCATTTCCCTCCATTTCAGTTTCACGCTCTAACCATCATTTTCACAAAATTCAGATCAAAAACCATTTTGATTCTCTCATCTCTCCAACTCTTTCTTTCTGAACAAACTTCTCCCTCAACCTTATTATTCTCTCTGTAAATCTTATCATCTTCCTCAATAATCGCCATCACCTTCTCAATCATCATTCTTCATCCTCAAGCTACGCAAGCTCTCTGCATCACCATCTCACGCGCTCTGCTACACATTGCTATCTCTGAAGATCTCAACCGCAACACACAACAACGATCACAACAGAAAACGAAGAAGAGAGTAGAAGAAGATAGAAGAAAAAATGAGAAGAAGAAGAGTTGAAAGCAATATGAAGTTACTTGAGATCTTCGCCGGAATCTGGAATTCACGCAGTCGGGGAGGTAAGTGATTTCTTCATCTTTCTATGATTCTTGTTACTACGATGTAGCCTGAGTCCATCTGATTCTTTCCCCTAAGGTTGCGGTGCAAGATCCTTCATCGTTGCCATTTAATTTCACGTTTCCTCATTCTAGGTTTTCTAAGTTAGCTTAGATTTTGGGAGACTAAGACCGAAGCTGTGAAAATGAATATGAGAAATGAAAAGACTAAACTGCAACGAAACCGTTGGTATAATGAATCTGTGATTCTGGACTCACGGCCGCTGTTGCCGCCGCAGCGAGCGTGCCGAAGCGGCAACGCTTAGTCTGAGAATGAGAGAGAGCATGAGAGAGGGAAAAGCTCAACTTGAAAATATGTGAAAGGTCACAAAACCTTTTGGTCCAAACGTTGCGTTTCATGATCGCATAGTAATTTCTTTGCATTTTTTTAATTTCATTTTAATTCATTAATAAATCAGAAAATATAATGAAATTGAGAAATCTGGCCATGTGTTGTTTGAATTGAGCTTGATGCGCCTGAACCTTCTTTCCACACCCCTTGCCTGGTCCACGAACCACCTTGTTTTTCTTCAATGGCACTTTGTTTCTTTAATTTGGTACAATTAATTTCTTTAGTTTTTTCATGATTTTCTTATTGATTTTTTTGCATGGATGTTAATATGTTAGTTCCTGATTAATGATATTTTTTTATTAGTTTAGGAATTATTTGAATAAATATTTAAATATGGCTAGAATTAGGGTTTCCTTGTGATTCTTGTTAATTTTTCCTATTTGATTCAATTTTTTGGCAATGATGAATGATTCAATGATAAATTATGATCCTTAGATGCCTAATTAAATGTATTATTAGTTTGTTAATGAGATCCCTTGAAATTTGATTAAATAAGGTCCTAATTCTCTTGAATATTCATGTGTTTTTGCAAGTTTATTTTGGTTATTCTTGTTCAATGTTTTGCCAATAATTTTGGATGACAAACATGTTTGGATTTTGATCCTAATGAGGAATTTTTTACTTTGATTAGTGTTCACAATATGTTCATTAAACTGTTTATTCATCATTTGAATTGTATGTTGATTCTTAGGATTTCTTAGCATCGTTTTGATCAATATTTGTTCATGATTCTACATCATCTCATGCATCATTTTATGCATCATTGCTAACCCTTTGCTACTATTTGTGAGGTACAATATTGAGGCCTTGAACCCTTCCCTTAGCTATTAACTTTTGGTTACAATTTGTTGTACTATTATCGTTTTAATTTCGTTTTAAAGTTCCTTTGAGTATTGTAATATTGTAGTAAGTGTTCCATCCCCCTAAGGTGGGAAAAATGTACCCCTCTCTTGAACAATGCAATATCATAGAATATATGCTTGTGTGCTTTGAATGCTTGTATGAGATGCATGCTAAAAAAGATAAAATCAAACAAGTAGAAAACAAGTTTAAAAATAAAGGAAAATCAAAGCTTGGTCCAACGCCAAGCTATTTAAAAAAAAAGTAATTGAATTATTTTCTCCCACCTCCCTCCTTAGGTGTTCTTGCCTATATCCCTCATGTTACCCGTAAGTCAAGTGCTTAAGCCTCACAATCGACCTCCAACAATTCTTCATCAATACTCCACCATCATAAACCAACTAAGCAAATCTTATATGTCTTTGTCCATAAGTCGATGCACTTATCCATGTCGCAACTGACCTATATTTACCTAATTCACCTCCAATCACTTCTCTCCACACATTTCATTCATCTTCATTCATTCTTCAATAAAACTAAAACTTAATTCTTAATAAAAAATTCAAAATACTTAATCATACTTAAACACTTTCAAAACTAACAAAAATACTTCAACAAATCCAAACTTTTTTGCCTTTTGGCTTCTCTTTTTAAAACCTTTTCAAAGGGGTCCGTCACCCATAAAAAACACCAATAAACCTACATTTTGGAAGAGAAATATGGATTTTTTATTCCTTCTGAGGATACGTAGGCGTAGGGTTGCAAAACCCTCATGAACTCAATAATAAAAACCTTTTCTTTTTCCCTTAGTAATTCATTCATGCATTTTCTTAGCAAGTAAGCTTTAGATATACAAACCGTTAAAAATGAACAATCGAAGTGGATCCAATTGAGTGCAACAGATGTGAGGGATGTTAATACCTTCCTCTTGCATAATCGACTTATGTGCCCTTTCTCTTGGTTGCAAGACCATCTTATTCATTCCTTTTAGGGTTTTCTCGATATTTCCCCTTCCTTCAGGATAAATAAAGTTTGGTGGCGACTCTGTGTTTTTTTACGGTGCGACAGTTGCATCCACAAAACCTTTGTCGAAGACGGAAATTTGGTACATGAGATTGGGCCATGTCACTAAGAGGGGCCTGGTCGAATTAGGGAAACTAAATCTGCTTGGTGGAGACAAAGTCGAAAAACGGAAGTTTTGTGAACCATGTGTACTAGGAAAATCATGCAGAGTGAAATTCAATAAAGGCAAACAAAGAACACATGAATCCCTTGATTACATCCATGCTGATCTTTGGGGGCCTACAAGGTGCCCATCATATTCAAGAGCAATGCATTTTTTGTCTGTAGTTGATGATTATTCTAGAAAATTATGGGTATTCATCCAGAATACTAAGGATGAAACTTTCGAGAATTTCAAAAGTTGGAAGACTCATATCAAAAATCATACTGGAAGAAAGGTCAAGAGGTTGAGAACCGATAATAACCTTGAATTTTGCAATGATGCATTCAACATTTTTTGTGCAGGCTCTGGAATTGCAAGGCACATAACTACTGCAAGTACTCCCCAACAAAATGGTTTAATTGAGAGGATTAATCGAACCATTTTGGAAAGAGTTAGATGTATGTTGACTAGTGCTGGATTAAAGAAGGTGTTTTGGGTAGAGGCTATTTCGAAAGCAACATATTTGATAAACAAATGTCCTTTGATTGTGTTATATATGAAGACACCTAAAGAACTTTGGTCGGGACATCCACCAGATCTCGACAAACATAGAGTATTTGGATGTGTAGCCTATGCTCACATTAGGCAAGATAAGGTCGAACCTAGAGCTCTGAGATGCATGTTTATGGGATACTTTGAAGGAGTCAAAGCTTATAGGTCATGGTGCCTAAAGCCATGTCATAAAAGGTGTATCACTAGTCGAAATATGGTTTTCAATGAAGCTGAGATGGCTTTCAAGAAGACTAACGATATTGGTCAAAGTGCAGAAATATCAGAGGAAAAGCTAGAACAGGAAGAGATTCTTGTTGAGGTGGAGCATGTCGATGTTGAATTGTGTATTCCAAATCAAGTCGAAAGAGAAGCACAAGATACTGAACATACTGGGGAAGTTGAGGAAACTCTCGATGACTACCTATTGGCAAGAGATAGTCTAAGAAAAGTTATCAATTTGTCTCATAGACTTGGGTATGAAGATCTTATAGCTTATGCCTTGATCTCTATAAGTGAGGTTCTAAATGAAGAACCTAAAGACTATAAGGAAGTTATGAGGAGTCGAAATAAGATTGAATGGATGAAGGCCATGAATGATGAGATGAAATATCTTCATGATAATCACACTTGGGAACTGATCAAGAAACCATCTAGATCCAGGTTAGTCAGTTGTAAGTGGATTTTCAAAGTTAAGGAAGGAATCGAAGGAGTTATGTCGAAGAGATACAAGGCAAGATTGGTTGCAAGGGGTTTCACTCAAAAAGAAGGTGTCAGCTTCAATGATGTGTTTGCTCCAGTTGTGAAGCACGTGTCCATTCGAATGTTACTTGCCATGGTGGCACAGTTCGACTTTGAACTGGAACATATGGATGTGAAGACCGCTTTCTTGTATGGAGATCTAGATGAAACAATTATGATGAGGCAACCTAAAGGGTATGCACAAAAGGGAAAGGAAGATTATGTGTGCAAGCTGAATATATATTTATATGGACTGAAATAATCTCCTCGACAGTGGAATAGGAGATTTGACAAGTTCATGGCACATATAATTTTTATTAGAATCCAGTTCGACCATTGTGTCTACTTTAGATTTTGACCTGGAAATTTATTTGTTATTTTGTTATTTTATATGGATGATATTATCATAGCAAGCAACAATGTCAAGGATGTAATGAAGGTGAAAGTTGAACTCAATAAGGAGTTCAACCTGAAGGTTCTGAGAGCTCTATCCAGGATTCTTGGGATTGACATCCGAAGAGATATAAAACAGTCAAAATTATGCTTATCTCAAGAGGCATACATCTGGAAGATTCTCGGCAAGTTTAGTATGTCGAGTTCAAAGCCTGTTATAACTCCGACAGACTTTAAATTTAAGTTGAGTATATATTTTTGTCCAAATACTTAGGTCAAAAGATCTTATATGAATAAAATCCCATATGCTAACATAATAGGTTCTTTGATGTATGTTATGGTTTATACTAGACCCAAAATAATATATGCAGTCAGTCTTGTAAGCACGTATATGACGAATCTTGGAAAGGCTCACTAGCAAGTATTGAAGTGGATTCTAAGGTACATAAATGGGTCTCTGAATAGAGTCTTAATTTGTGGTGTAGCCTATGGTGAAGATAGTTAAGCAGTAGTCGAAGGATATGTAAACTCTGATTATGCACGTTGTATGGATTCTAGAAAATCTATTTCTGGACATGTCTTCACTGTATTTGGCATAACAATCAGTTGGAAAATGACACTTTAAAAGGTTGTCGCTTTATCAACCACTGAAGAAGAATATATTGCCCTCACTGAAGTTGTGAAAGAAGCATTGAGGCTTGAAGGTTTTGCTAAAGAGATGAAACTTCAAGGTCAAGTTAACATTATTAAATGTGATAGTCAAAGGGCAATACACATGTATAAGAATTCAGCATATTATGAGTGAACCAAGCACATCGATATGAGGTTGCATTTCGTCAGATGGATAATTAAGCATGGAGAAGTCTAAGTGCTGAAGGTTTCGACATATCATAATGCTGCTGATATGATCACCAAGACTTTACCAAGTTGCAAGTTTTTCCACTGTACGTAGTTGATAAAGCTGCATAAAAAAAGTTAGTTTGTTCCTTGATGCTATAAAGTTTATTCCAAGGTAGAGATTTGTGAGATATTGGATAGAACTCTAGTATAGTCAAATGGTAGCTTCTTGATTCGACAATTTGACATGATCTAAGTATGAGGTTGAAGATGGTTCACATGTTGGGGTCAAAGACCCGCAATGCTGTAGTCGAAGTATGTTCAAGTATGTAGTATTAGAAATGCTAGGATTGTTAGCATGTTGAATTGGGCTTGTTTGTTATGCCCAATTGTTTAAGTTAATTTGTTCTCTAAGTTAAGCTTGTAATGAGTCTGTGTGTAAAATTCCATTAGTTTAGTGTGTTAGTTTTCTTATAAATAGCA